CCACACCCTCGAACGATTAAGAACGAGAATGATAAGTCAGGTTAGAACGCCACAAGAATAATCTTGATAAATTCTGTAAAGTTCTGAAACGAACCAAAGAGAAAAGTCTATCAAAAACTCAGATTCAATAGCTTCCCAATTAAAGTTACAAGCTCTTTAAATAGGGAAAAGTAATTCTAGGAAACTAACACCCTAAGCCCTAATCCTAATAACCACGAATTGGGCCTCAAATAAATGAATGTTCAGCCCAAAAATAATACAAAAAACGTGAAAATCACTAAAAATAACCTAAAATAACATGAAATATCAGTTTGCTACAAATTGCGGCAGAATTGTGCAATTTTGATGCAAACTGTGTAATTCCGTGCAAATGACCTCAACTAAGCTTCTCTTGAACCTGAATGATGTTTACCATGCCTTGATAATCATCCAAGCTTTGATTTGCTTGTTGTATGTTGTTTTCAACCCAGATCTGCTCAGTAAGGCCCTTTTAAAGCTTCACGCATCTTCTTAGCTCTAGCTCGTGTGACTGGACCTCCTTGGATGTGTAATGGATCACATGACGTAGTAGATATGCTGTCATCTTGATTCCCATCAATATTTCTCTTCATATCAGGTGGAGGAACTTGATAAAGTTGAAGGAAATTCAATTCTCTTGAATAACATTTTCAATTCTTTTCTTCTTAAAAATAAAAGAAATAAAATTTTAAGTAAAAGATATCAATTCTAGCAGTGATGCTCTAGTTGCAAAAGTTATTGAAAATCTACTTGAAGTCATGTGCTCGAACCATGGAGGTGGCAAATCTAAGGAAATTTTCTTAAAAGCTTGAATCATCTAGTTGAATGATTTAGCGATTTGTATTAGTTTGAATGGTTCTGTTGGTTATGAGTGATTCAACCTCCATACTGATTTCAAGTATCCACCGACCTATTTATGTTACCGATATTGGTCCAATTGACCATTCTAGTCTAATTTTTAAAACCATGTTTATGTAGGATAGGTTAAATTTAAAAAAAAAAATTATAAATTTGGAATTAAATTACAATGTTTCACAAAATAAAAGAATGAATAAATTAGTGAGATTAAGGACCGAATTGTTGAATTCTAAAATTTAAGGACTAAAGTACAAAAATTTTAAAAATTTAAGAACTAACATTGTAATTTAATTTACCATCACAAAAAGAAACAAATTCAAATTATTTATGAGGTGTCAGCCCTCTTTTTTTTTTGTCCATTTATATAAATAGAAAATAAATTGTAACCCTTATAGTATACGGTTTAAATTTTTTTTTTAAAAAAAAAAACTCAAATCAAATCTTATAATAGAAAGCATAAATAACATTGATACAAAAATTAAGTTGTATTAAGATTAGATTGTAATACTACAATATGTTAGATATGAACTACTCTTTCATATATATTTCTTTAAAAAGCTCGTGGAGTATTTTTTAGGATTTCTTTAAACTCTAATGGGTATTTTTATAAAATTTAATAGTATATATTTTAGATTTTTAGGGAGAACTTTCTTCTTACAATAATTTAATACAGTTAATATTTATATATTAAGATTGTAAAAGACAAAAAACAAATCCACTATTGTTATGCAACACATTCTAAGAAATTAATTTCCTTAGGTAAATGCATGGATTCAAAATGAATACAATGCCTAAAAATTTCTTGATGCTAGAAGCAAACAATTCCATACTCTCTCTCTCTCTTTTATGGGAATTATATAATATACCTACTTACTACTTTGTGTGACTACATTATATACTAAAATTATTGATGTGTTTATTTTAATATCATTCTCTTTGCATGTTTATTTTATTTATTCATCTTTATGCTGAATTAAAGGTGTTATGCCTAGGGATTGATTGGTTGGGAGTGAGTATATTAATTGATCATATATTAAAAATAAGGCAAAATTATGAACTTTACTCCACAAGTTAAGAGTAAATAAACTTTAATATTAATTTTTTAAAAGATAATTTTTTTTAATCAAGAGATGAATAAGGAACATGTGTTATTACCTTTCGACAATGTTATTTTTATCATTAAGAATGTAAGTTTGCAATCACAGTATGTTATTAAATAAGTGGATATATATAATATTTTAAATACACAAGCAAGTGAAGAGAGTCAAATATAAAATAACACTCTAATTATAAATTTACAATTCCACATGATATTGTAACTATATCATTTTCAATCACATCTCCCAAGACTTATTAGGTTAGTTTCTTAAATTTGCTTAAATTTTGAAGTTTAATTAAGTAATAAATATTTATTCAAACCAAATGCACCTTTAATTAACACCTTCACAAAGGCCCGTGATAAGAGAAAGATAACCAATTTTAGCTTAATATACTAGTAGGTATTATTTCCTTTTTGTGGATAATTTCCTAACATAATGGGTGATTTTGGAACCAAGATTAAAAGTTTAAATCTTGCAATAAACACTTCAAACTTTCTCAAATACTGCACACTTTTTTATTTTGAAGTTGAACAAGAAAAGATTAAAATTTACAAATTTTAAAAAGAAAGCAAAGGGAAATATGTTTGAAATGGATTAATAGAATAGAAAAAGTGTGTTTGTTAGTCATAACTAGAGATTCACAAATTCATAGGTTATTTCTTTTCATTTCTTGAAAAAGGTTATTAATTTTAACAACATAATTTAGAAGAGAAGTTGTTGGCCTGAAAAGACAAAAAGTTTTCCCTTAAAAAGGTTGTGTAAAGTTATTAATAGAACGAAACACAAAAAATAAATATGAAAATATAAATCTTGCCTTGTAGCATTATAAACTCTCATCCCATACATGCAGGAAGTGTGAGGTTAGTTGTTGAGGCAGCACAAACGCATGTCCAAGTTAAGGCTACAATTAATCATCTTACAACACACCCTCAAGTGAAAATCCAAAAAAATGGCGACTTCAATGACCTTACTAGTTCTTCTTATGACACTCCTTCCATCAGAAATACTGCCATCCAACCTACCTCCAAAGAACCATGACCTTCTAGTTGCCATTGAAGAGATGAAGAAGGCCAACTACTTCACATTTGTCATGCTCATCAACATGTCTCCACTTGACCGTAGAATTTTTGGGAATGTCACCTTTTTAATGCCTAAGGACCGAGCATTATCGGACACGTTGGTCTCCCAGAACTCTGTTTCTGACTTCTTGTTTCGCCATTCTATCCCATCACCTTTGCTTTTTGAGCAATTCGATCATATCCCAACAGGTTCAATCATCCCAAGTTTTGAGCCTCAGTACATGCTTAAGGTCACCAATTGTGGGAGAAGAAATTTCTTCCTCAATAATGTGAAGATCATTAGCCCAAATTTATGCACTTCTGGAAATTCTATTAGATGCCATGGCATTGATGGAGTGTTGTTTGATGATGATTCTTCTTTACCTTGTTGTCCAAACAACACAATTTCTATACCCTTAGGGCCTTTATCTGCAGCCTCTCCATCACCAACGCCTCAAGTTCTTGCAGCATCTCCAACTACAATTGTTGTTCCTTCTGATCAAAGTCCAGTGGCTGTCCCAAAATCGGCTATCAGAAGTCCCCAAAAATCTGAGTCTGCAAAATGGGTACCTTATGGAAAATTAACAACTTGTCTTCTTCTCCTAGTAATAACCTAATTGGATCCACCTCTCAAGTCTCTTATGAATTATTGAAATTTGTATGTCATTATATTTTTATGTTATTTCTATCTATATATAAAACTACCATTAGCACTAACATTGGTATATTCCATTTTGAGATTTTATTGGTAGAATTTTAAAATTTGTTGTGGTAAAAAATACCATATGTTTATTAATTTGGCTTTTAATCATGCGTGCATCAAGTCATCAATCGGTATTATCATGCCATAGTAAGTAATTAATAGTCATAAGCCCTTGAAACAAGATGTTGACTCTCTTGGGTTGCATCCAAATTCCTAAGCCATTTTTTAAATTTACTTAAAAAGAAAAAAATATAGATACAAACTATATATTAAAAGAAATTCAATATAACCCTAACAATATGTTTTGGTTGAGGGGAATGGATCATTCCCATCCCCTCCCTTCCACTCATTTAGATAAGTAAATAAATTAAAAGAAAAAAAATAAAGTAAAGAAACTTCTTCCCCTCTTGTGCCGTCCAAATACAAAAATTTTTTTTCCTTTCCCCTCTTGATGGGAATCAAGATGACAGCATATCTACCACGTCATGTGATCCATTCATGCGAGCTAGAGCTAAGAAGATGCGTGAAGCTTTAAATGGCCTTATTGAGCAGATCTGGGTTGAAAACAACATACAACAAGCAAATCGAAGCTTGGATGATTATCAAGGCATGATAAACATCATTCAGGTTCAAGAGAAACTTAATTGAGGTCATTTATGCTAAATTACACAGTTTGCGTCAATCTCGCAATTCTGTCACAATTTGTAACAAACTAATATTTCATGTTACTTTAGGCTACTTTTAATGTTTCTGATCTTTCTCCTTTTGATGTAGGGGACGATTTGAGGACAAATCCTTTTGAGGAGAGAGGGAATGATGGGAATCAAGACGACAGCATATCTACCACGTCATGTGATCCATTACACACCCAAGGAGGTCCAGT